GGGCTCCTAGAGGAAAGGGAGAGCAATCCTGTCACCACCCGTCCGTCCGAGTGGACGCCCCAGCAACTGGAGTGGTCCCAACACCTTGGTCCTGCACTGACAGCCCCTGTCAGTCTCCCCCTAGAACTCTTCGAAGGGCTCACATGCCCAGACTCGTTAGAGGTTTGGTTCTGAGTTATGCTCCGGAGAATGTGGTCATAGAAGCCGCGGGGCCCCGCACTGGGATCTGCGCCCCCTCAGGCCGGGAGACCCGTCAGAGGTCCCACCCACGTCCCTGCCTGCCGGTCCCGGTCAGCCTGGGGGGTCTGGCCCGCCGCGGAGTCCCTCTGGTCAAGACTGGTAAGATGCGTCCCTCAACTCCCCCTCCCCAACCTCCCTTCGCAGCCAGTCACACACGAAGCCCCCACAGACAAACTCACCCTTGGTCTCTCCTGCCCCCAGCCTGGACCCATTACAAAGTTCCGATTAGGGTGGTCCTGCGACCTTGAAGGGCATCTCCATCCCCACCTGAAAGCTGGAGAGTCTGAGGCTCAGAGACATTGGCATAACCTGTCTGACCTGTCAGATGCTCTCCCCCCACCTCTGCTCCCCCATATTAGGGAGCCTCCCGGAGCAGGCAGAGGAACCCCAGGAATTTAACAAACACTGCAGTGGAGGGGTGGGACATCAGCAAGGCTCCTGGGACAGCCCCTTGAGGACAGCCCCAAGACTGCCCAGCCTGAGAGTGAGGGAGCCTGGAGAGAGAGGCGGGGTGCAGGGGGTGGAGACCCTCCAGCTCTAGTCCCCTGCCACTTCCTCTTCCCCTGGTATGGACAGGTCTGTGGGAACCCCCGAGTCCTGACTGGCCCCGGATGTGTGTGTCCGGTTGCCTGCCCTCAGCCCCCAGGAGGAAAGGGATGGGGGCTGGAGGAAGCAAAGTGTTGCAAAAGCAAGGCTGTGCCCTGGACAGCTCAGCACGTCTCTCCCTCCCTCCCTCCTACTGGTATGGCCTCCTGGGAGGCCTGAGGCTGTGAGGTGTGGAGACACTGCAGGGCCTGAGAAATCAGGAACTCCCCACAGATCTGACCACAAAGGGGCGGAGGAGGGCTGAGGTGACATGACACTCAGCACTCCCGTAGACCCTCCCGCCCCCCCCCCACTCTGAGGCCACAGAATACTCTCAACTGCTTCAACACCCCTCCTCATTTTCGAGACTGGGACACCCAGGTTCAGAAAGAGAAAGTGATGCGCCCAAGGACACACAGCAGATACCAGTAACTGAGGGTGAGAAAGGATTTGGAAAGACCCACTAAAATGAGGTGGGGGCTGTACGGAAACTCCTGGAGAAGTCGTCCATTCAGATCTGGGACTGCCTGGCCGAAGTGGGAGGTCAGAAGGAACCAGCCTTGGGCTGGGAGGGGCATCCTGCCCCGCTGAAGTTCACTGACAGAACAGTGCCTTCTCCACCCACTGCCACTAAGGAATGGACTCCGTGACCTGCATCTCTGTCTTGACCACAATAGGGAACCCACAATGCTGCCAGGCGCTGCCCGCACCGGCTGGCAGGGCTCAGATGGAGGGTGTGCGAGTCCTGGAGGGGTTGGGGTCAGGGGTGAAGAGCAGATCCCAAAGCTCCCGATTTCTGGGCGCTGCGCTGAGGGGCTGAAAGGCAAACCCAGGAGGAGAGAGCAAAGGACTCTCTGAAGGACCCTGAGTTCCCAGAGCCCCAGAGGGAGCCAGGCCCACAGGGAGCTCTGCCTCTCCTCCAAGATATTGCTGGAGTCTGAGGAAGGGTCGTCTGGGAGCCCAATCCCTCAGTAAATCCAGGTCCCCGCAGGGTCTGGCTTCTGGAAGAGGGAAGAAGCTTAGGATGCTGTGGGAGTGAGCGGGGGGCGGTGTGCGGAGCCCCCACGGCCTCCTCCGTCCACACTGTGGCTCCTTCCTCCCCAGCTGCTGCCAGCCCAGACAATGCGCCCATTGTTCTGTGTCTCCAGGGGCCTGTGTGCAACTGTGTGTGTCTGTTTCTCTCTGTGTGTGACTGTGTATTGCTCTGTATCTGTGTGTGAGAGACTTTGTGACTGTGTGTGAGTGTGCGTGTGTGTGTGTGACCAGGTGTGCACGTTTGTGGTTGTGTGAGCCTGCATCTTTGTTGGGCCGTGGGTATTTAGAGGGAGAGAGAGACTTGGTGACTCTTGGCGACTCTGAGACTTTCTGGGTGTGTACCTGTCTGTCCTTCAGATTGCGCGTTGGTGACTGAGTCTGACTGAGATTGGGTGTGCAACTATGAGGGTGTGCGGCCGTGTGAGAATGTGAGTGTGGATGAAAAAGTAGCTGTTGGCGTTTCTGTGCCTGTCCCCGTGGGTGGCTGTGTGTGCCTCAGTTTGATCGCTGAGGCCGTGGTGGTCAGAGCCTTCGAGGTATGGGCTTTTGCCAGCACAGAGGCAGGGAAAGGAGCAGTGGGAAGGCCGGGGGGACTCTGGGATGGATGGGGGAAAGGCAGCTGCAGAGACTAGAACCCCATATGTGAAAACACATCCCTCATCCGTCCCAGCTGTCCAGTGAGGCCTCAGCCCCCTGCCCTGGCCTGAGATGCTCCTAGCCTCCCTGGATGGAAGGGAATGAGTTTCCTTGGCAGGGAGGCTGGGACCTCAGGAGAGCCACAGGGTGGGGCTGAAAGGTGGGAGGAGGGCAGAAGAGAACACGGCCCTATAAAGGAGGATTGGGTACACTTGAGGTCTCCGCGGGGACCCTGTGGTGGGGATCCGGTGAGATGCCAGGTGAGGGGTGAGTGGGCAATAGCTAGTCGGAGGTGGGGGATGGGCCTTCCTAGCATGGGCGGGGGGAGGGGGGCAGCACTTGCACAGGCCTGGAGAGGGGAAGAGACATCAGAGAATGGCTACGTCCCAGTGGAGACCTCAGCAAGGGTGACTTGATACGGCCCGGTTCCCAGCGCCAGTCACCCCGTCTCCTTCTGGGGAGGCGTCAGCTGGACCCACAGACCGTAGTTTTGCCCCAGGTCAGCCTCCTCCTGCTCTGGAACCTCCTTAGGCCTCAGTTTGCCGGTCTGTACAGTGACAG